TCAGAAGAATTTGATCTCACCTGACTTGTGTTTTATGTGATCTTTGGCAACCTCAGGATTCCTTTACCAAATAATACCTGGAAGCTCCCAGGTGTTAGACAAACTCTGTGTTAGAGTAGGGCAATGTTTCAGAGACTGTTGTATTGGGAAATGCTTTGTGTTCTTATCAGGCTCCCACTGACCTTCAGACTCTCAAATACGTGTAGATCATGGATTTTTGATGAGCTAAGTGGCTTTAAAATCCCTTCCCTCCTACCCCTGTTTCCTACACTGGGTAGGCTTGTGAGCATTCATGCCTATGATAGGTTTTTTTTTTTTTTTTTTTTTTTTTTAAAGTAGGCTCCACGTCCACTGTGGAGCCCAACACAGGGCTTGAACTCATGACCCTGGGATCAAGAATCAGACCCTCAAACGACTGATCCACCCCAGGTGCCCCTTTATGACAGTTTTTAATTAGAAATTTCCACATGTAACCATTGTTCGAACAGAATGTTCTATTTTTTTTATTTTTATTTTTTCTTGAAGTATAGTTTTTGACACAGTGTTACATTAGTTTCGGGTGTACAAATAGTGAGCAGACAACTTTGTTATGATATGCTCAAGTGTAGCTGCCATCTGTCCCCCTACAGTGCTATTCCAACACCACTGACTGTATTCTTTGTGCTGCACCTTTCATCCTCATGATGGCAAGCCTGTCTCTCCCACTCCCCTTCACCTCTTTTCCCCATCCCCTTCCCCCTGGCAACTGTCTGTTTGTACTCTGCATTTATGGGCCTGTTTCTGCTTTGTTTGTTCCTTTTTTAGATTTTACATATAACTGAAATTCTACCCTATTTGTCTTTCTCTGATTTATTTTATTTAGCACAATACCCTCTAGCTCTATTCATGTTGTTGCTAATGGCAAGATCTCATTCTTTTTTATAGCCGAGTGATATATATATTATGTATTTATTTATTTTTGTTACTGGTCATTCTGACGAGTGTAATATGATAACTCTTGTAGTTCTGATTTGCATTTCCCTGATGTTAGTGATTTGAACAGCTTTCCATGTGTCCCTTTGCTCATCTGAATATCTTTTATTTCTTTCTTTCTTTTTTTTTTTTTAAGATTTTATTCATTTATTTGGCAAAGAGAGAGACAGTGAGAGAGAGAACACAAGCCAGGGGAGAGGGAGAAGCAGGCTTCCCTCAGAGCAGGGAGCCTGATACGGGGCTCAATCCTAGGACCCCCGGATCATGACCTGAGCCGAAGGCAGACACTTAACAACTGAGCCACCCAGGTGCCCCCTGAATGTCTTCTTTGGGAAAACGTTTATTGAGGTCTTCTGCCCATTTTTAACAATCAGATTATGATTATGATTATTTTGGTAAAACAGAAAACTTTTTGATGTGCAAAGTGACAGGGCAGGCACACTTCACTGTAAGTCCCACTGGCACAGGAATCTGTTGAATGGAGTCTCACTGTGGCCCTGGCTAACCCTGCTGAGGGAAGTCCTGTAGCTTCCAGCCCCAAACAGGCGAATGGAGGGCAAAATGAGATGACTTCTTAGCCTTGGCCAACTAAGCCGAACTCTCCTGGCTTTTTGTTTATGTAGATCTTGCGTCTTGTTTATGTAGATCGTGCTCCCCTCAGGAACACCTCCTGGCTTAGACTTCTGCTCTGTGTGAGGGGGTGTTGACTTGGGGTCAGAGATGGGCCCATGTTGATGGCTGCCTGGGAGCTGAGATGCCTTGACCTGCCTTGGGCTCAGAAGAGTCCCTAGTTTCCACCAGCTATTTCTTTCCTAAGGAAAACAGCTCAGTAGCTTCAGTTCTTTCTTCTCTGGCCACCTCCAGAGGTCCTGCTTGCCCTCCTCTGTGGTCATTGTCCTACCTGCCCAACTTGTAAAGTGTGCCGAACTTCCCTTCTTGACTATGGGCATATTACTCTCTTTCCTGGTAGCAATAATCTAATTCTTTTGGAAGAAGGGGTGGGTCTAAAGTTATGATTAATAATTAAGAATGATTAAAAAGAACCCTGGCTTTCCACCCTGACCACCAGCCAGCACTTTGTTCTCTTTCCCACAGACAAGCAACTTTGTTGCCAAGAGTTGACTTTCTTCCCAGAGCTCAGCAGGGGTTAGAGCTTCCTTTCATTTCCAGTATTTTATTTTGTCTATCTGAACTGGGGGAAAGGCTGCTGAAGATTTAACAGACTCCAGCATTCGATGACTGCTGGTAGAGTATTATAGAAATCCATATGCCTTCACTAGTTAATTCCCTGTTCACCATAGGGGTCCAATCTGGATTTTCTCCGGAAACAGAAGATGGGGGCTAGGGGTGAAGAAACAGAAATAAGTATCTTTAAATACAAAGATCCTTCCAGTTAGGCCCTGTGTTCTGGAGTCCAAGGCATCCTCATCACGGAGCAGGGATAGTCTTGCTAAAGTCATGGATCCCAGCCCCGACTTGGGGCGGGTGTAACACCAGATGGACCCAGGTCTGGAGCTGGTCTAGAGCCAGGCTCTTTGGCTTCTAGTTGAAGTGTCACTTAGTGAGATGGCAAAGGAAATCATTTTAGGGTGCCAAGGGTCCCATGAAAGGCCTGGCTTTTGGGGTATCGATCTGCTTTTCTCTGTTGCTATGGTTGATGGGGTTAAATATTTCATCAGTGTGTCGTGGGCCCTGGCATCAGTGGCTGGATCGCGTGGAGGGGCTGACGTGGTGGCAGGAGCCCGAGGGTGCCCGGAGCGGTAGCCATCTCCTAGCCCGCACCCGAGGCTTCAAGGACAGGTGCAGATCTGAGTGACTGCTGTCTGGTTGTTTGAAAACTTTCACCAAATAAACAACTTGGGATTTTGCCAAGAAATAGAGCTTTGTCTTTCCTTGTGGGTCTCCTTGGAGACCTAGGAAAATGATGCCTCTTCCCCCTTCCCTAAACATGGGACTAGTCTGGCTGACAAGGAGTTTCACTTTCTATCCTCGTAGAACTTCAGAGAAAGCAATTACGATACTGTGGCTGACACCCAGGGTGTGAGATCGCTGAATTTTAGGGGTGGGTGCCTTAGGAAGGAGCATGCATGTGCTGACCACAGACCATCTCCTCTTTTGGTGAAAACACTGCATTGAATGGCCTCTATTTTGATTATAAGGACATGTTGTGGATTTTGCAGGCTTTGGTTGAAGTTTCTCTATAATTACCCCCAAATTTCAGAAAGCCTTGTTTTTTTTCAATTTTTAGTCCCATGAAATTGAAAGTTGAGAGGGATCTAGAGGTGAGTTTGGACATAGATGTGGGTTTGAGCTGGAAAATGGAACTGATAACATGCAGGCCAGATGCTCAGCCAAAAGAAAAATAAAGGTTCCGGGAGACCAGGTGCCTGCACGTGAGGAAGCCCCACTCGGGTGCTGCCCAGTTCCCCCCAGTACCCTTCTTCCTGGTCTCCTTCCACAGCAGTGTCTTCCTGGCAGCGGGTCATGCTTCGAGAGCTTGCCAGTGTCCCCCAGGGGTGGCCGCTGCCCACATGATTTTGGCTCGACTTTTCTTTTCCTTGGAGACGGGGCGGGGGGGGGGGGAGGGCTCAGTCCCTGGGCCCTTGGCGAGAGATCACTTGAAACCGTGTCTCTTGGTTTGTTTTCTTGACTGCTTCGTCATTCCTGCCACTAATGGCGTGGCTGGGACGACTCCCTGCAGTGGCCAAGCTGTCAGGCAGTGGGAGCCTTTCTGCCCAGTTTGTACTGTGTGTCTCTGTGGGCATGAAGGTCAGAGATGGCTATCTGGAATCACTGTGCTGTGGCTGCTAGGGAGCCTGGAGCACTTTGCTGTCTCTCCTCCACCCCACCCTCCATGCTCATCTGTCCCTGTCCCTCTAGGGGGGAAGGGACAGATGGTTTATTCTCCGATTTACTCGTAGGGAACTGTGACGAGCCCAACACAGGGCTTGCCCTGCGGGCAGTGGCAGCAGCAGAGGCCAGCCTTCTGCTCCCCGGCCTCTGCCTGGCACCAGCCGTTCTGGTCCCCACTCTTATTCACCTGTGAAAGAAAACGCTTCAGCCAGGAGAGATGGATGACACCAGCAGCAGCCTTCCCCATAGGAAGTGGGTGCCTAAGCACAAGCTGGTGGTTTTCACGCTTGTCCTTTCTTCTGTGGCCCAGGACCTTGCTCTGGCAGTGGGGCCAAAGGAAGGGGAGGATGGATGGAAGCAGAGGCTGCTTCGGGTGGGAAAAGTCAGACCTGGCCACGGGAGTTCTTTCTGTGTGGGGCATCTCTACTCTGCTTGGGCTAGAGCTTCAGGGTCCTGGTCAACCACTTTTCTATCTCCTCTCCAATAGATCATGCCAGCTGTGAGGGCTGGTGTCTTTGTTCTTACTTGTTGGAGGTCTTCCTGATCCTTTCCTACCTCATCTGACTCCCACCCATCCTTTAGTTCTTAGGAAAATCATTTTCCCAGGAGGCCATTCTTAATTCTGCCTGTCCCATTCCCTACTCCCAACGCCCTCTGTTATACTCTGCCTCATCAAATCTGTTCTTTCCTAGCCTCTCATTCACTATGTGTTGCTGTAAAAATACGTTCTCCCTGATAGGGGGGCAAAGGATAGGTCTGTCTTGCCCACAGATTTATCCTCAAGTCCTAGTCCTTGGGAGGCTTGTCACCTATTTGAATGAGAGTGGGCTTGGATTTTCTTAAAAATTTTTAGGTCAGGTATTAAGACTTACTTTCTTTAGATCAGGGGACAGAGAGGAATTTAGTCTTAGACCTATTGAAACTGAAAAATCTGTGGTCCAGGACGCAGCCAAAATACATGGGTCTGAAACTCAAGTAAAGAGATCACCCCTGGGGAATAGATTTGGAAATCATTAGCAAGTCCCAGAAGGTGGCCTCCTGTGCCCCCAGTGTTGGTTGCAGTCTAAGTTTGGCATGGTTAGAAGAATAGGATTATGGGGGATGGCGGACAAGGGTTCTCTCTCCAGGCAGATTTTCTTTCCCATGGGTTTATCCATTTGTTTTTCATCACAGAAATGGCTTCCATCTTCCATCCGCGAGAATGTGAACTGTCTAAACAAGAAGGGCAAAGCTATGGCTTCTTCCTGCGAATCGAGAAGGACACTGACGGCCACCTGGTCCGGGTGGTTGAGAAAGGTAGCCCGGCAGAGAAGGCGGGCCTCCAGGATGGAGACCGAGTTCTTAGGATCAACGGTGTCTTTGTGGACAAGGAAGAGCATATGCAGGTGAGTGGGCCATCTGGGGTTCTTCCTCCAGGATCTCTTTAGTCCCCACATCTCTGCTGATTAGTTTTTGGGGTCGGCGGAGAGTTCCCAGCTGCCACTGGCAAGGCAGACCCCTTTATGGCCCTACCTTCTGCCTGCTACTCAAGTCCCTTCCAATGAACTGGGAACTGTAAAATTATTCCTAGATTGAATAGTGTCAGAGTCCATAGGCATCATATTTGCTATATGCCAGGAACTATGCTAGGCAATTTCATATTCATGATTTTGTTGAACCCTTATCAAACCCATGAGGTTCCATATCACATGTCACAGAAGAGGGCTCAGAGGATCAGAGAACTTCGCTTGCTAATGTGTTCATGCAGCGAACCCATGGATGTCTGACCTGCCCCAGTTCTGCCTACCCCCTAGTGGATGCTCCTTCCACTACGCCATGCTGTTTCCATTAGCCCAGCTGGGACTGGGCCACAGTCTAGGTTACAACAGTGCTAGAGCCCTGTCCCCTCCAATCTGCTCCTGGATCTTAGGAGGGATGGGGTACAGATGGCTGGAGCTGGAGATCTGCTGACTCTTTGGGCTTCAAGGGTCAGCAATCTGAATCTCTAGATGCAGAGAATGAGCCAGATGGTGAGGATCCCCTATGATAGCTGATAGGCTTCTTGGTTAAAGTGATCTTTTTCTTCTTCCTAGGTTGTAGAGCTAGTCAGGAAGAGTGGGAATTCAGTGACTTTGCTAGTCCTGGATGGGAATTCCTATGAAAAAGCAATGAAAAAACAGGTAGACTTGAAAGAGTTGGGTCAAAGTCAGAAGGAGCCGAGCTGGAATGATAAGAAACTGCCCCCTGTGGTGAACGAAGGAGCACAGACTTGGACCCAGCCACGGCTCTGCTACCTGGTGAAGGAGGGGAACAGCTATGGCTTCTCTCTGAAAACTGTCCAAGGTGAGCTCGAGGGTGGCCTTTCCTGAAGAAAGATATTATTATTGGTTAATGACTTCTTTGACAGATTTTTCAGATGCTCTGGCTGTCCAACTGCAGCTTCTCCCTCCTTCCCTCCCCCTCCCTCCCTGGCCTTTCCCTTGCTTTGACAATTGTGCAATGAGGGATCAAAACACTGGACCCAGCCCAGGGCAGGGAGGGCCGCTGGGCCCTCCTGTCCCCCAGTGTTTGTTGGGCTGAGCCTTGGAGGCTAGAGGGTGAGAGGGCTAATGCTTCTTTGTTATTCTTTCCTTTCTGCCTTAGGGTGAGGAGGGAGGGGAGAAGGGGAAGAAAAGGCAAGAAAAAGGAGATTCTTCATCATAGCTACTTTCGAGTAGCTACTTTTTCACTTTTGAGTGCCCAGATGCTCCTTTATTCAGCAAATTCTGATGAGGCAGACCCTGGTCTAGTTTCCGAGGAGGCTATACTAGTCCCCACCCTCTTGTGACACTGAAGTCGTGCCTAGCCTCCCCTGCTCTGAGGTGCCTCTGTCCGACAGGAAGTACTAGAAGTACTAGAAGATCTGTTTCTAGAATTAATAAAGATGCAGATTGGCTTTTGCTCAGTTGCCCGTGGTTCTGTGATGGTGTCTCTGGGATGTAGGTGGCTACATAAGACTTTCGGGTTCGACCTTGAATGCTGCTCCTCCCACGTTCTTTCCGCTACTGGAGAAGCATGGGTCATAATTGAGTAAATCATAAAGAGCCGAGCAATAGTAGACATAAATTGTTTCCAAGTCTTATTTAACCTATAGCAAGTGATGTAAAGTAGCTATAACAGGTACTTCTCCGGGCGTCTGGGTGGCTCAGTGGGTTAAAGCTTCTGTCCTCAGCTCGGGTCATGATCTCAGGGTCCTGGGATCAAGTCCCACATCAGGATCTCTGCTCAGCAGGGAGCCTGCTTCCTCCTCTCTCTCTGCCTGCTTCTCTGCCTACTTGTGATCTCTTGTCTGTCAAATAAATAAAATCTTAAAAAAAAAAATGTACTTCTCAAGTTTGTCCATTATTAAACGTAATGGTGGAGGTGGTCAAGGGAAGCTGGGCGTTTCGTAGAAGTCCATTATCAGCAAAATGGTGTGAAAGTTATCATAATTCAGATTCTACTCTTTGGACTCTTGCGCTAGTATACATAATAAATGGTCTCGATTAGCTTTATGAAGAAAATGTTTTCTTCGTGACAAATCTATAACAAGGCAACTGGAGAAATTGTAAGGTAGCAGATTATACTGTTATTCCTTATAAATTACTTATTTTGTCCTTCTGAAGCTACCCTTTGGCCAGGTTGAAATATTCGTATTTTGAAAGAATTGGCAGCATTTCTATAAGAAGCACCTAAGTCACATCATCTATTAATCCAGACTGACTGTGTGCGCCCGCCCTTCTGTGCCTCTGTTCTCTTAAGCCGGAAAGAGTGAGATTTCCTGACTTCACTGGTGTATGATGGTTGGCGATGGTACTAATTAAAGAGGACAGAGTCGAATAGAAGCCTTCTAATTCCACAAAGGCAAAGAATGGGCGTAAGGCACAATGAAGCAGCAAGGGCACAGCTTGGTGCTTTTTGCCTCAAGAGGCCACTGCCCTCTGAGGTTCCTTCCTTGCATTCAGCTGGGCTCAGAAATTCTACTTGGATTAATAGAAACCAACCGATCAACATCTGTGTCAAGCTTTGTGCCAGGAGCTATAATTTTAATTCCAGATTAGAAGCCCCAGTCTATTTGAGTTAGCCTTAAAATTGGAAGTTGTAATTTTACATTTTTGGGAGAAAATCCTTTATAATTGGACTTTCCATGAAATAGAGTTGTAATGCTTGTCCATGCCCTTTCAGGTAAAAAGGGAGTGTATATGACTGATATAACGCCTCAAGGTGTGGCTATGAAAGCTGGTGTCCTGGCTGGGGATCACTTGATTGAAGTGAATGGAGAGAATATTGAAGAGGCCAGCCACGAGGAAGTGGTGGCAAAGGTATAGCCCAAAGGGGACTTTCCTTACTTTTCACTTACTCTTACTGGAAGTGACAGGAAGACATGAATGGCAATCTATGATGGGAGGAATATAGTGATGAGAGGTTAACCAACCCTTTGCATTAAGAAGGTACAGACACACTAGGGGTGTCAGCAGTGTTAACATGGGGTTCTGGAATAAGGCTTTTGCTGGTTTCAGGTTTTTGGAGAAGAGCATTCTAAAGTATTGTTAACTTTAGCTTTTGGATCTTATTTGTACCTGATTGGGAGCCCCCTCCGAATTTATAACAAAGTCAGTGTTCTAAAATGTTTTAATACAAGCTGGCAGATAACCAATGTGGTGATGGATAGAGAGCTACACATAGAGAGTATTGGAAGACATGTTACCCCAAATCTTATGTCCCAGCACAGTTCCCTGACACATGGATAGCCCTCTGAGGTTTTCCTTTGTGGTCATATGGAACTTTGAAAACTGACCAACTTGATCTTCTCTTGGTAGAATAATTTTTCAAAGTAGACCTTTTCATGCTTTTCCAAACTCCTTTTCTAGACTTAAGTACCTCGCTTAAGTACCTTTCTGGGTTTTCTGAATTCTAGCTCTCATTTGGATTCAGTTAGCATCTGTGTGGGTGAGGTCATACTTAGCAAAGGCAAACACAGTTATGGACATGGAGATAGTGTTGACCAGTGAGATGGTAGGAAGGAGTATCATAGTTTAAACTTGGGCCTTACATTCCATTCTTTTCTATCGAATCCAGAGACTGTGTGCCTCCAGGAAGAAACTTTCCTGCTTCCCACACTGTTCTTGGCGATGGCTGTCGGTCTTACCTGTGTGTGCTGTTGCAGGTGAAGAACTCTGGAAGCCGTGTCATGTTCCTGCTGGTGGACAAGGAGACTGACAAACTCCATGCTGAGCAGAAGATAAAATTCAAGAGAGAGACAGCCAGTTTGAAATTGCTACCCCACCAGCCCCGGGTTGTGGAGATGAAGAAGGGAAGCAATGGCTATGGTTTCTATCTAAGGGCAGGCCCAGAACAGAAGGGTAAGGTACTAGAAGAACAGAAAACTTGGTGGTATAACCATCTACTTCTTCAGCCACTCTGACTCCAGAGTTCTTTTAGGCCCCCGAGTCCCTACCAGCGGCTGAGGGGACAGCAAGAGACTAGAGAGCATAGCTGGATCATTTTCCATGGGGGCCATGATGGGCATCTCAAGGTTTCCTTAGCAGAATGATGAGGCAGAATTTTGGATCTGGGCAGTAGTATGCTGTAATTTGCTCTTGGGAAAAAAAATGCCCTAATTTGTAGCATTTGTTGATTTTTTTTTGTTTATATTTTTGTGGCGAAAATACTCCCAATATACCTGATTTTAAGCCACGAATGTGCTGTCCTAGCATGCAAAGTTGAGAAGTCTTGAGCAGAATTAGTTCTAGATCTGAGTAAGGGGTGTGGGTTGGGGTCTGGGAATCAAATAGTATCTGAAATCTTTCTAATTCCTTCTAACTCAACAGGGAAAGAATTAAGGTCCTTATAGGGAAGCTGACTATATAAAGGAATGCAAGGCTCAAGCCATTAGCAAACTGTTGTTCTAGACGTTGCTATTTTCTTTTCATCGTGTATATTTATATTAATATGAATCAAACATTTGATGAATTATGTAAAAACATCCTCAGGGCCTTATAGAATATCAAGTGACTCAAACAGGAATTCTTCAATCAAGGAGCCCACTATTTAGTAGAGGAGATACAACTTGTATGTCCATGACTGAAGGTGGAGGGTGAGGGGCACCATAATATGGGGTAGAGTACTATTGGAATTCAAGGTTGGAGCAAATTTTTCCTACTAAAAAGTACTGGAAGGCCTCATGGTAGAGATAGCACCTGAGCTCAGGCCTTTGTAGTGTGAATAAAATTTGAAAAAGTAGATGGTGTGGGGACAATGAAGGCCATTCCATGAGGATAGGATTGTGTGAACCAAGTAGGGAAACGTGGGTGCAGTTTGATCGGCATCTGATGTGTGGCACAGAAAAGCACGTCAGAAAGGCAGGTTGGAAAGAGATGATGAGGGCCTTTAATGCCAGGCTGAAGAGTCTGGACTTGGCTCTGTAGTTGATGGGGAGTGAAAACTTTTTTCAACAGTGTGAGAAACAAAAATTAAGACTGCAGCATCTTGGGGGCTTTAGACATCTCCGTTACTCCTAATAATTCTGCAAGAAGAATTTCTGAAATTGAGGGCTGGGAAAAGATACAGAAATTATTATAAGGACAAATAGTTGTGGTTTAACTGGGATCAGATTTAGATCTTGTTCCGTTCTAAAGTCCGTGCTTGTGCTGTTGTACCCGGGAAGACTTGGTCAGACATTGCATCAAGATGAATCTGAAGGCAGATCTGCATTGGAGAAGGCAAGGATTAGGGACAGGGAGAGCTGTTGGTAAGGTGCGGTAGTTGTTAGGTAGATTTCAGGCAGGAACTAAGATGAAATGCGTTTAGGGAGAAGTGGGATCAGAGAAGATATGTGTCAAATATTAAGGTAGCATCAAATGACCTAGCAGTTGATTGGAATACGGGGAGTGGATACTGTGGAAGAATTGATGCTAAATGTCAGTGACTGGGGTGATGGTACTTCCATGAACAGGTGACCAAGGGGAGGAGCTTTGGGATGGGGGAGATGGGCAGAGACGACTTTTGGTTTGAACACGTTACATTTGAGGGGACTATGGGCTATCTACTTGGAGATGCCCAGCAGCAAGCTGGAAAAGTGAAACGAGCTTGTTAAAATAGTGGGAGGAACAAAAAAAGTGTGAGAGACCTAAGGGCATCTGGTGAAGGCAGTTCAAGTGAGGAGAGGAAGGGTAAAGATGCATCTTTGAGGCACGCACACACGAACACATGCATAGTTGAATACATCCAATTGCTACTAAAATGCCAGCATGTGTTTTTTAGGCTCTGAGTTCTTTGGTTTTGTTCTTCTTTCTTCTTTCTGCCCCCATTTTAATGGCTTAGCATCTACATAAGATGTATGGGTACAAAGATGCTCACTGACTTCCTGGGAACTTGCTCACTCTTAATGCTTAGCATGCAGTTTTGTCAAGATTCTGTCTCAGATGTGTTTGGTTACAACATGATTCTTTTCTTTAAGATCCTTTCATTGGTAATGGCTGAGTTTGTTCCTGGAGTAAGTTGTGGGCAGGAAATGTGGCTGGATGTGTGCTTATCATCTTCCTGGGATGCTGGTGGGAGGGGCAGTAGTATTCAGAATGACTTTTAAATTTATCTTATCTGATAAAATAAATGGGTCCCAGAAGAAATTCTACAGCTTAATTTCGGGGTCTTTCTGATAATTTTATTTCATTTTTGGGGAGGGTAGGTCAAGTCATCAAGGACATAGATTCCGGAAGTCCGGCAGAGGAAGCTGGCTTGAAGAACAATGACCTGTTAGTCGCTGTCAACGGCCAATCTGTGGAATCCCTGGATCATGACAGTGTGGTGGAAATGATTAGAAAGGGAGGAGATCAGACTTCGCTGCTGGTGGTAGACAAAGAGACGGACAACATGTATAGACTGGTACGTAATTTAAGGCTGTATATTCATGCATTAAGGTTGGTGTCCATGCCCTCAAGTCCTCAAACTTTGGCTAAGTTACCACTTTGATTTTCAAATTGGAAGGGCATAGCAATCATCATTAAGGCAGCACTGAAGTTCAAACTGGTAGTGATAAGAGAATGCCAAGTAATAGGTACATGAGTTTTAAATTCTTAGATTCAAACTTTTGAAAGAATTTGCAAATGTAACTACAGAATTACTCTTGGTGATCTAAGAAAAATCTATGAACGATAGCCTGGGAAAAGGCGGATGTAACCCTAACTTTCCCAAATAGGAAACAATGGGATTTTAAACCATAGACCAATGAATTCCATTAACCCACATAAAAGACTGGAAAGGATTTTTATTTTTATTTTTTTAAAGATTTTATTTATCTGACAGAGAAAGACAGTGAGAAAAGGAACACAAGCAGGGGGAGTGGGAGAGGGAGAAGCAGGCCTTCTGCTGAGCAGGGAGTCCGATGTGGGGGCTCAATCTTAGGACCCTAGGATCAGGGCCTGAGCCAAAGGCAGATGCTTAATGACTGAGCCCTGGCATCCCTAGAAAGGATTTTTAAATCGCTTCTAAGCCCTTAGCAAGGAAATGGAATCACAGATTCACCAAGACTAACCCTAGTGTCAAACTAACCTTATTTGCTCTCAACTTTTAATCACAACTGGTGTTATCTGCATGTTTGTTTCTTAATAATCTTTTAATTTTATCACAGGAAGTGAGGTGTTCAGTCTGATTTAACAGACATGTGGGGGCCTTCTACGTACCATCTGACTCACTAGGTCATGGTCACAAAGATGAACAAAGATGGACTTGTTCCATGCGATACACAATAATGGAAGCATCTGAAGGTGCATAAATGATACAGAGGAAGAATGTGGTAGAGTGTGGTATTAGTCCCTTTTTATAGATGAGCAATTTCTTAGTCTCTTTAAACTTCATTTTTTTAAAAATGTCACCCACTTTTTAAATTTGAACCCAATCTGAATTTGAACACAGGTTCTTTTTTTTTTTAAAGATTTTATTTATTTATTTGACAGACAGAGATCACAAGTAGGCAGACAGGCAGACAGAGAGAGAGAGAGAGAGAGGAGGAAGCAGGCTCCCTGCAGGGCAGAGAGCCCGATGCAGGACTCGATCCCAGGACCCTGAGATCATGACCCGAGCCGAAGGCAGAGGTTTATTAACCCACTGAGCCACCCAGGCGCCCTGAATGCAGGTTCTTAATTCATTATACCATATACCCTCTCAGCACATTTTGATGAACTATTTCAAGATACTTGCGTAAAGAAGATTAAAGAGTGAGCTGGACAATAGAACAGTTAATGGGTTTTTAGTTAATGGGTTTTTAAAATGGGTTTTAGCTAGTTGTACAACCTTACCTGAAGAATCCTTGATATTGGAACAGTGTCAGTCTGAATAGATGACTCCAGTGGTAGGCTTCTTATCTTCAGCTAGTTTATTACCAAATTTGGATGACAATATGGAAAATACTCAACATACTTAAGTCATATGGATGGCTTAATGTATTGATGGGTAATTAATTTACTAGAGATTATATTCAAAATATCCAGTCAGGATAGAAAGAAGGGTAAAAACTAATGAGTTTAAGTTTAAACAGGAATAAATTTCAGGTACTAAACTAACTTAAAACTAAATTGTATGAATACCAAATGGTGAGACCTGATTTGAGGACTACAAAAAAGACCAGAAACCTGATTATACTCTAAGTAGCCACCCCCACCCCCCAAAAGGCAATTTAAAGTTACCTTAACTGACACTTGGCTTTTGGAGATGATAGTCTTTCTGTCCTGAGTTGTTCAGACCATACTTTAAATGACCCATAATGTGATCTTGGGCAAGTTACCCTCCCTGTGCTTGCCCGCTTAGTTGTAAGATGGGGATTGCTACTGTGAAGGGTTATATGAGGTAGTATTTAGAACATTTAGAATAATGCCTGGCACATACATAAGTTATGTTTGTTAAGACAACATTGTGTCCAGTTCTGAGAACATAACTATAAGAAGGCCAGTGTCCAGAAAGGTAATCAGGGCAGAGTTTTTGGAGATCACCATATTTAGTTTGAATAAGCGTAGACTTTGGGGAAGAAAGGAGACCATTTTCAAGAATTTGAAAGGCTAGGGATGCCTGGGTGGCTTAGTTGGTTGTCTGCCTTTGGCTCAGGTCATGATCCCAGGACTCTGGGATCAAGTCCTGCATCGAGCTCCTTGCTCAGCAGGGACCCTGCTTCTTCCTCTGCCTGGCGTTCCCCCTGCTTGGTGCGCTGGCGTTCTATCTCTCTCTCTCTCTCTCTAACAAATAAATAAATAAAAAAAAAAAAGAATTTAAAAGGCTTAATGGTAACTATGTAAGGCAATAGATATGTTAATTACCTTGATTGTGGTGATCACTTCACAATGTGTACGTGTATCAAATTACACCATACACCTTGAATATATACAATTTGTTAATTACACATTAATAGAGCTGGAAAAAAATGAAACAAACACTGACAAACTTGAAAGTAGAAATAGACAATTCTACTATAATGGTTGGGAGACTTTAATATCCCATTCTCTATCATGGATAGAGCCACCAGTCAGAAGATAAGGAACTCAAGGGCTTGAACAAAAGAAACTAACTAGATCTAACAGAAATACAGAGCACTCTATCCAGCAACAGAACACATTCTTCTTGAGGGCACATGGGCCATTCTCCAGGACAGACCATATGTTAGACCACAGATTAAGTTACAACAGCCAAAAGATGGAATCAAACCAAGTGTCCACTGACAGATGAATGGATTTAAAAATGGTGGTAAATATAGTGTGTGTATATAAAATTAAAAAAATATATTTAAAAGAATTCAGAAGGTTATTACATGCAAGAAGCCCCTACTTTTGGGGTGTTCTACAGGGCATAGCTTAACTAAATAGAGAATGTATAGGGAGCTAGCTTTTGGCTTAAGGACACATGAAGCTGCCAGGAACAGGGTAGCCATTTTTGCCAAGTGGTGACCTTCCAGCTTGTGGAAAAGTTTAGGCAGAAGTCAGGAGGTCACTGCTCTGGCTGCTGTAAAGGGGATTCTGGTATCAGTTCTTTTCCAATCCCTCCTGATTTTATGACAATGATTTCTCTGTAATGTTCTGGTTTAATATAAGAGAGAACTTTGATCTGAAAAGATGCCTGACCCCATCTTCTCCCTCCCCTCTCCCCAAATGCCCTCTAAAGTAGGTTCTGTACAGGGGTGGGTGGCTGGCGGTGGGGGGGGGGGGAATCTTTTTGAGATCTATAGGTGAATCAAACAAACCAGTTCTTGGCACATACTGGCACCCAAATATATGAAAGTGCATAAAACCTCATTAAGTGTTTAATGTTATGGTACTTATCTTCAAGGTCAGCTGCTACTATCCCATACAGCTGATTTGCCTGTTGGGTAGTGATGTCATGTAATGAGTCACTGGTAACTTTCCTCATTGTAAAGACAGAAAGAAATGTGGGACATTTGCAAGCATATCACTGAAAGCTCTGAAATTTAGTTCACCTGGGTAACTTAGGAGTTTTTAGCTGGTGCTACTCTTGTTTAGAAAGGAAGATGTGGTCTTGTGGTTAGTGAGAGAAATGATAACCAGAGGACCCTATTCTAATTTTAACCAGGTGGCTGAACAGTACAATCTGGGGCAGAGCACACATTGTACTCACTTGGAATTGCTTGATTTTCTACTCCTTGCCTAACAAATGTCCTGGATACTTGTAAGCAGCGATTTAACTGCTGATCCAGGATCTTATCATACCCAAATCTACCCTATTAGTTCTCTCAGTTAAAACCCACAGTCTACTAAGCTTTTAATTCTTTAAAAAAAAAAATCAGTCATGTGTTTCCTGTTCTAGGTCTCTTTTGTATTCAAGACTTTCACTGCCTTCTTCACATGGATGGTCTGAGAGAGGAGATGGATTAGAAGTATTTAAAGATGGTGAGGAGTTTGGCCTAACAGGAGTGTCAGCTAATGATTACAACAAAAAATAGTAAAATGAGTACAACAAATTACTCTGTGTACTTGAGGTGGTGATAAAAATATTGCTCTGTTGCACTTTCTCTGATGTGTTCAAGGAGCTCTGAAGGCCATCTTATTGAGGAGGAAAGGGCCCGATGAACCTATTATGCAGGAGCTACAGGGCAAGTCACAAGAAACTAGCATTTTTGTTACTTATTTTGGGATCTTTGCGCGGCATTCTGTACTCTTTTGATTTTTGTGTATTTGTGCATTTGTTTACTCCATAGCTAAGCTCAATCTTTCTTTATATGTTTTGCAGTTGGGGTAGTATAGAAATTTTCCCGCCCACAATCAGATGTATCCGCCAGGCTTGTGGAACATGGGTGAAAGAAGTTAGCACTTTTCGTAAAGTATAACTACTCACACTGACAATTAATGGTTTTTTTTCCCCTTTATTTTCAAAAGGCTCATTTTTCTCCATTCCTCTACTATCAAAGTCAAGAACTGCCCAATGGTTCTGTCAAGGAGGCTCCAGCTCCGATGCCGGCTCCCGCTCCTCCAGAAGTGTCAAGTTCAGATACGACAGAGGAAGTAGGAGATCATAAGCCTAAACTTTGCTGGCTGGTTAAAGGGGAAAATGGCTGTGGCTTTCACTTAAATGCCATTCAGGGTCAGCCAGGCTCCTTCGTCAAAGAGGTATGGTCTTCTGGTTCTAGCAGCCCAATGAGCACAGCCCCAGTTGAGAGAGCTGTGGTTTCTCCCGCTCACTGATGGCTTAGTAAAAAGCTTACATGGAAGGTGTACACTGAGGGTTTAAACAAATGCTGTCTGTCATGGTCCTCTACCCTTTAAGACAGTGACTAGTACATCCTAAGCTCACCTCTTTTCTTTTTCTTAAACACCTAATTGTCTTTAGATACTTTCAAATCAAATAGAGTGATTCGGCGTGACTGTAGTTGATAGTCACTGTCAGCTCTGAGTGGGAGTGATACTTGGTAACTTACACATTTGGCATAATGTCCCTAGCCTGTAGGGACTGACCATGAGAAGACCATCTTTATGGCTCCTAAGTTGGGAATGCAGAAAGGGAACCTATGAAGGAGGTGAATTAGTGCCTTCAACCCAGAAGACCTATAGTATGATATTCAATCACTGTAATGCTACACACTTTTTTTTCTGATGCTTTTAATGATTTTTTTAAAAAACTGAAGTATAGTTGACATACAATGTTATATCAGGTGTATAACATAGTGTTTTAATAATTATATACATTACAAAGGCTCATCATTAGTTAAGTGTAGTTACCACTGTGTCATACAGTTATTAAATATTGTTGACTATATTCCTTAAGCTGTACTTTTAATTCCTGTGACTTATTTTATAACTGGAAGTTTGTACTTCTTAATCCCCTTTGCCTATTTTGCCCATATCCCCCATCTATCTCTGCTTTGGCAACCCACCTGTTTTTTCTCTGGATTTGAGTCTATTTCTGTTTGTTTTGTTTCTTGGATTCTGCATACATGTGAAATCATAAGGCACGTGTCTTTTTCAGTCTGACTTCTAAGCATAATATTATTTAGCATAATATCAGCATAATATTTAGCATAATATTATCTAAGCCCATCCGTATAGTTGTGAATGGCAGGATTTAGTTTTTTTTTTATGGTTGAGTAATATTCCATTGGGACACATGCACATGCCACATCTTCTTTATCCATCCATCCATCCATCAGTGGGCACTTAGGTGGCTTCCATACCTTGGCTAGTAGAAATAATGCTACTATAAACATAGGAGTGCGCAGATCTTTTCAAATTGATGTTTTTGTTTTCTTTGGGAAGATACCAAAGTGGGATCAAAGGGTCTTATGGTATTTCTATTTTTAATTTTTCGAGGAATCTCCATACTGTTTTCCGTGGGGGCTGCCCTGATTTATAATCCCCACCCGCAGCACACTGGGGTTCATTCCCTTTTCTCCACATCCTCGCCAATACTTGTCATTTCTCATCTTTTTGGTACTAGCCCTTCTGACAGGTGTGAGGTGATACCTCATTGTGGTTTTGATTTGCATTTCCTAATTAATAATGTTGAGCATTTTTTCCTGTGTGTCTCTTGGCCATGTGTGTGTCTTCTTTGGGAAAATGCCTATTCAGGTCTTCTGTCCATTTCTTAATTGGATTATTTGTTGTTATTTGTTGTTGTAGGAGTTTATATATTTTGGATTTCAACCCCTCATCAGATATATCATTTGCAAATATCTTCTCCATTCAGTAGGTTGCCCTTTCATTTTGTTGATGCTTTCCCTCTGCTGTGTAAAAGCATTTTAGTTTGGTATAGTCTGAATAGTTTCTTTGTGCTTTTCTTTCCCTTGCCTGAGGAGACAGATCTAGAAAAATGTTGCTAAAGCTGATGTCAGAGTTAATTATTGCCTGTGTTTTCTTCTAGGAGTTTTAGGTCTCATATTTTTAGTTTTAGTTTTCAGGTCCCATATTTAGGTCTTAATCCATTTTGAGTTTTTGTATGTGGTATAAGAAAGTGGTCCAGTTTCATTCTTTTGCATGTACCTTTCCTGTTTTCCCAGCACCAATTATTGAAGACACAGTCTTTTCTGCACCATATATTCTTGCCTCCTTTGTTGTAGATTAATTGACCATATAAGCATGGGTTTATTTCTGGGCTCTCTATTCTGTCCCATTGATCTATGTGTCTGCTTTTGTGCCAGTACTACACAGTTTTGATAACTGTAGATTTGTGGCATACCTTGAAATCTGGAATTATGAGACCCTAGCTTTTTTCTTCTTAAGAGTGCTTTGCCTAACAAAACCAAAAGACAACTGACAGAATGGGAGAAGATATTTGCAAATGACATATCAGATAAAGGGCTAGTGTCCAAAATCTATAAAGAACTTAGCAAACTCAACACCCAAAGAACAAATAATCCAATCAAGAAATGGGCAGAGGACATGAACAGACATTTCTGCAAAGAAGACATCCAGATGGCCAACAGACACATGAAAAAGTGCTCCACATCACTCGGCATCAGGGAAATACAAATCAAAACCACAATGAGATACCACCTCACACCAGTCAGAATGGCTAAAATTAACAAGTCAGGAAATGACAGATGCTGGCGAGGATGCGGAGAAAGGGGAACCCTCCTACACTGTTGGTGGGAATGCAAGCTGGTGCAGCCACTCTGGAAAACAGCATGGAGGTTCCTCAAAATGTTGAAAATAGAACTACCCTATGACCCAGCAATTGCACCGCTGGGTATTTACCCTAAAGATACAAACGTAGTGATCCGAAGGGGCACGTGCACCCGAATGTTTATAGCAGCAATGTCTACAATAGCCAAACTATGGAAAGAACCTAGATGTCCATCAACAGACGAATGGATAAAGAAGATGTGGTATATATACACAATGGAATACTATGCAGCCATCCAAAGAAATGAAATCTTGCCATTTGCGACGACGTGGATGGAACTAGAGGGTATCATGCTTAGCGAAATAAGTCAATCGGAGAAAGACAACTGTCATATGATCTCCCTGATAGGAGGGAGAGGAGACGCAACATGGGGGGTTAAGGGGGTAGGAGAAGAGTAAATGAAACAAGATGGGATTGGGAGGGAGACAAACCATAAGTGACTCTTAATCTCACAAAACAAACTGAGGGTTAATGGGGGGAGGGGAGTTGGGAGGGGGGGTGGGATTATGGACATTGGGGAGGGTATGTGCTATGGTGAGTGCTGTGAAGTGTGTAAACCTGGCGATTCACAGACCTGTACCCCTGGGGATAAAAATATATGTTTATAAAAAAAATTAAAAAAAAAAAGTGCTTTGCCTATGCAGGATCTTTGTGGTTCCATACAAATTTTAGGATCTTTCCTAGTTCTGTGAAAACCACTATTGGAATTTTGATAGGCATTGCATGGAATCTGTAGGTTGTTTTGGGTTGTATGGACATTTTAACACTATTAATTCTCCTAATCTGTGATCATGGAATATCTTTCCATTTATGTGTGTCATCTTTAGTTTCTTTCTTTAATATTAGTCTCACAGTTTTCAGAGTGGATTTGAGTCTATTTCTGTTTGTTTCTTGGATTCTGCATACAGACCTCCTTCTTAGCCTTCATTGAGTTTATTCCTAGGTGTTTTATTCTCTTTGATGCAATTGTAAGTGGGATTTTCTTCCTTCCTCTATATGTTATGCTAAGCTCAGCCACAGCGTAGCTACCATCTGTCACCATACAACATTATAGTATCATTGACCATATTCCCTATGCCGTACCTTTTACCTCATGATTTATTCATTCTATATACTACCATTTTTGTGTGTGAGAAAGTGGTCATTCTTTTAGGTAGCTGTCCAGTTTTCATATGAACTTTTATTGAAGGGACTCTGTTCTCCACTGTATATTCTTCCCTCCTTTGTTGATTCATTCACCATCTAAGTGTGGGATCATTTCTGGGTTTCCTATTCTGTTCTATTGATCTACATGTCTATTTTTTGTGCCAGTACTACTGTTTTGATTACTGTAGCTTTGTAGTGTATCTTGAAATCTGGGATTGTGATATACCAGATTTTCTTCTCTCATCTCAAGAGTGCTTTGGCTCTTTTGCTTTCTTTTGTGGTTCCCTACGAATTAGCATTATTTGTTCTAGTTCTGTGAAAAATGCTGTTGGTATTTTGATAGGAACTGCACTGAATCTATAGATTGCTTTAGGTAGTTTGAACATTTTAACAATGTTCTTCCAATCTATGAACATGAAATGTCTTTCCATTTGTTTTTGTCATCTTCAGTTTCTTTCATCAGTGTCTTTTAAGTGTTCAGAGTACAGGCCTTATACCTTCTTGGTTAAGTTTATTCCTAGGTATTTTACTCTTTTTGGTGCAATTGTAAATAGAATTATTTCCTAAATTTCTTTTTCTGCTACTTTATTAGTGTATAGTAACACAACTGATTTCTGTGTATTAATTTTATATCTTGTATCTTTACTGAATTCATTTATTCTAATTTTTTGGTGGAGTCTGTAGGGTTTTCTATGTATAGTATGTTATCTGCAAATAATAATAATTTTACTTTTTCCTTATCAATTTGGATGCCTTTTATTGTCTGATTCTTACAGCTAGGTCTTCCAGTGTTATGCTGGGTAAAAGTGGCAAGAGGGAACGTTGTCCAATTTATTGGCTTCTAAATTTTCATAATAGTTTCTTATAATCCTTTTTATTTCTATGGTGTTGGTTGTGACTTCTTTCGTTTCTCATTTTGAGTTCTTTTTTTTCTTGATGAATCTGCCTAAAGGTATACAGTTTTGTTTATATTTCAGAGAACCAGCTCTTGATTTCATTGACCTTTTATATATATATATATTTATATATATAATTATATACGTATATATACACATATATGTATATGTATAATATATAATAATATAATATATATAATATATAATATATATATAAATTTTTTTTTTTTTTTTTAGTCTCTATTTCCACTCAGATCTTTTTCTTTCTTTGACTAACTTTGGACTTTGTTCTTTTTCTACCTCTTTTGGATATAAGGTTAAAGTGAAATGTTCCCGTTTCTTGAGGTAGGGCAGTATCTCAATAAGCTTCTTAGAACTGCTTTTACTGAATCCCAAAGACTGAATTATGTTTTGTCTCCATATATATTTTTTTAATTTTTAAAATTTTATTTATTTATTTGACAGAGAGAGATCACAAGTAGGCAGAGAGGCAGGCGGGGGCGGGGGCAGGCTCCCCACTGAGCAGAGAACCTGATGCGGAGCTTGATCCCAGGACCCTGAGACCGTGATCTGAGCCGAAGGCAGAGGCTTAACTCATTGAGCCACCCAGATGCCCCATCTCCATGTATTTCTTTTATTTTCTCCTTGATTTCTTGGTTGACCCATTGTTTAGCAGTACATTGTGTTCTTTTTAGATTTTTTCTTGTGATATCTAGTTTCATACTGTTGTGGTTGGAAAAGATGCAGGATATGATTTCAGTCTTAAATTTATTAAGACTTGTTTTGTGGCCTAACATGAGATCCTAGGGAATGTTCAATGTGTACTTGAAAACAACGTGTATTTAGCTATTTATTTTTATTTCGTATTTAGCTATTTTGGATAGAATGTTCTGTATATACTTGTGAAGTCTATCTGGGCTAATGTGTGGTTCAGAGTCACCATTTCCTTTTTAATTTCTGTTTGGATGACATATCCATTGATGTAGGTGAAGCGTTAAAGTCACATATGATTATTGTATTACTGTCAGTTTCTTGCTTTATGTCTATTAATAATTGCTTTATGTATTCTGGTACTCCTGTGTTGGGTGCATACATATTTATGATTGTTATGTTGCACTGTTCGTTTATCATTAGATAGTATCTTTTTCTCTAGCTACTGTCTTTGTTTTAAAGTCTATTTTATCTAATGTAAGCATTGCTACCTTGGCTTTATTTTTGGCTTTGATCTGCATGGTGTGTTTTCTAGTCTGTCACTTTTAGCCTGTGTCTTTAGGCCTGAAGTGTGTCTCTTATAGGCAGCCTATAAATCAGTCTTGTATATTAAGTTGATGGTTAATTTCAAACTTTTTTTTTTTTTTTTTTTTTTTTTTGAGAGCAAGTGAGAGCACACAAACAAGCACAGGGGAAAGAGGGGCAGAGGGAGAGACAGAATCCTAAGCAGGATCCATGTCCTGTGTGGAACCTGATGCAGGGGGATTGATCTCACAGCCAAGATCATAACCTAAGCCAAAATCAAGAATCAGATGCTTAACCAACTGAGACACCCAGGTTTCCCGAATTCAAATACATTCTAAAAGCCATACATTTTTATTCCTTTCCCTCCACATTTAGTGCATGTCTTATTTTACATATTTTTATTTTGCAAATCTTACTTTTTTTTAAAGATATGATTGGTTTTACTACTTTTGTGTTTCAACCTTCATACTAGGTTTCTACTACCTTTACTATATTTTTGCTTTTATTGGTGAAATTTTTTCCTTTCATAATTTTCTTCTATTTATGGCCTTTCTTTTCCACTTGGAGAGGCCCTACATTTCTTGTAAGGCTGATTTAGGGGTTTTGACTTCTTTAACTTTTGTCTGGGAAACTCTTGCCTTCGATTCTGAAAATAATCTTGCTGGGTAGAACATTCTTGCATGTAGGTTTTTTCCTTTCAGCCCTTTGCAGGCCAAAGGGGGAGTGGGATTATATATATAATCCCAAAGTTTCTACTGAAAAATCAGTTGACAGCCTTTATGAGATTTCCCTTGTATGTAGCTAGTTGCATTTCTCTTGCTGCTTTTAGGATTCTCTATCTTTAATATCTTTGATATTTAAATTAGGGTTCATCTTGCTTGGGATTCTCCTGGACGTCTGTCTCCTTCCCCAGGTTAGAGAAGTTTTTAGTTATTTCTTCAAATAAGCTTTCTGTCCCTTTCCCTCTTCTCCTTCTAGGGTCCTTATGACATGAATGTTACCATGCTTGATGTTGTCCCAGAGATTCCTTAACCTAATCTCAATTAAAATATTTTTCTTTTTGTTGTTCAGCTTGGGTGCTTAACTGTTTTTCCAGATCACTGATCTGTATCATCTGCTGATTCCCTCTAGTGTTTTTAAAATTTCAGTTATTATAAAAACCAATCAGAGATAAAGAATATATTTTCTATTTCTTTAAGTTCTCACTGAATTCATTTACTCTTAAGTCTGGTGAGCATCTTTATGACCATTACTCTGAACTCTTTTTCAGGTTTGTTGCTTATCTCCGTTTTGTTCTGTTCTTAGGTTTTGTCTTATTTTTTCATTTGGAGCATATTCCTCTGTCTCATTTTGTCTCACTTTTGGTTTGTTTCTATGAATTAGACAAACCTCCCTGTCTAAAGAAGTAATCTTGTGTAAAAATGTCCCCAGTGTAGACTGTGTGTACCTAGTGGCTTTGGGTGGAGCCAGCTCTGGTGGCATGGCTGAAGCAGGCATGGGCTGGGTGATCTTGGGGTGCCTATGCCATGACTGCTTTGGTGAGACAGCTGAGGGTGTCCTGGTGTGTACTATAATGGGCCCACCTTGAGCTGGTGTGAGCTAGGGTCCAGGGTTTGCTGTGATGGCAGAATGGCTAGGGCACCTGGACCCTGGGCCTGTCTTACACTGTCAAGGTGCAGAGGGAATGTAAACAGTGGTATTTGCTAGTACCTGTGACCCTGGAGAGCTTCAGCAGTTTCCCTATCATTTGGAGGATGCTCCAGGGTTAGTAAAATGGTTCCCTTCATAGCCTAGTTGCTCTTTAAACTGCTCTTTTTTTCCCCCTGTGCCCCAGGTCTGGGGAATCTGTGTGCGGATTCCTCCGTGCTCTCCCTCCCTGCTGGGAGAGTTTGTAGTGTCAAGGGTGAGGGTTTCATCATTACTGTCTCCATCTCTCCTGCTGTCCTCTCTGTGATCCTTTTTTTTTTTTGGTGCCGAAGCTGCTCAATCAGCCCTCAGTTCTTCAGGAGGAATTGCTATTTATATAGGTGTAGATTTGGTGTCTGTAGGAGGAGGTGAGTTCAGAGTCTCCTTGTGCTGTCATTCTGGAGCCCTCTTCCCGTGATACTCATTTGAGTATGGAAGTTGGAGCTTTCAGAAGCAGAAAAGCATCAGAGCACCTTTCTTCTATATCTCAGGGAGAAATAACATGGTTAAGAATACATTTTCAAGCTCCTCTCTCCTCTGAAGAGAAGCTAATCTAACATTTCTTTATCCACGTTTGGAAGTAGTAATTGAGAACCTCTTTTCACAGGTACAGAAGGGCAGCCCCGCTGAGCTGGCAGGGCTGGAGGATGAGGATATCATCATCGAAGTGAATGGAGTGAATGTGGTGGATGAACCCTATGAGAAAGTGGTAGAAAGAATCCAGAGCAGTGGGAAGAATGTCACATTCTTAGTCTGTGGAAAGAAGGCCTATGAATATTTCCAGGCTAAGAAAATCCCTATTGTTTCCTCCATGGCTGATCCACTGGATGCCCCCACTGATTCCAAAGAAGAAACACCGGCAGAACCAGAGCATGACTCACACATGGCAAAAGAACGAGTGAGTGAGGGTAGAATTCTTTCAGTGATGTAAACTATCAGGGAATGATAAAGTCCTTAATAAGTACACTTCAGATCTATGTTTACCACAGATTTCCTAGAATACTAGAAAATTACAAAGGTAACAAGCAAGTACAATTATTTTGGTGTAGAGGAAGTGGTAGGAGGACAAGCTGCTTTTTCATAGCATGGAGTTGACAGTAACTCTCCAGATAAAAATCAGTGAATAAAAGTTTATCAAAATTATAATGGAACCACCAGAAGAACCTGAATCAGACTATGTATAAATTCTGGTTCTGCCACTTAACAGCCTTGCAAATGGATTTATTTGCTCTTGCTTCACTTTCCCCACCTGTAAGCCAAGGACGACTTGTTGGATTATTATTAGGATTATATTAACTAAGACTATTTTTAAAAATTACTAATTTTTAATTTTTTAAATTTAAAATCAATTAACATATTGTATTAGTTTCAGAGGCAGAGTTTAGTGATTCATCAGTTGTGTATAACACCCAGTGATCATCGCATTAAGTGCCTTCCCTAATGCCTGTTACCGAGTTACTCCATCCCTCTACCCACCTCCCCTCCGGCAGCCCTGTTTGTTTCCTATTAACTAAGATTATTAAAGTGCTTCAAACAGTGCCTAGTTAATAATGGTAAGCATAAAATACATGGTTTTAAAGATAATTGGTAGGTATTTGTGTTTTATTAATAGGGAGGAATAAGCATTACTCTGTATTTGTATTAAAATCCTTGGTAAGTCTATTTTTGTCCATGTTCATAGAAATGTATGGCAAAGCCAAGACTCTAAAAAATTTTATATCATTCTTCTTTCCATTAAATTCTATTCCATTTACATTAATTTTACAGATTGGTCATAAATTAAATACTATTTATTAATGAATACACACTTAGTTTGGGGTGCTATAATAAAATACCATAGACTGGTGGCTTATAAACAACACACATTTTTCTGAAGGACAAATTTGGTGTCTGGGAAGGCCCTCTTCCAGGTATAGGCAGCCAATTTCCTGCTATGTCCTCACATAGGGGTTAAGGGGTGGGAAGTGGTTCTTTACAAGGCATTAATCCCAATCACAAGGGCTCTGCCCTCATGACCTAATCACCTCCCAAAGGTCTTACCTCTTAATATCATCACCTGACCTTAGGATTAGTATTTCAATATATGAATTTTGGGGAGATACATTCAGACCGCAGCACACACCATAGCCACTGACCTTGCATTCTTGATTGCTTAACAAAGAAAGCATTCTATGTGTCTTTAAAAAATTTTATATTTCCATAGCAAGTCAATAATAAGCCTGTGCTAACTTTATAGAAAAGATATACAGATATTAAGAAATGTTAGTGTCAAACAGCAAGCTGGAAACAAAGCCAAGTGTAAAATTCAGGTTACCTGGCTTCTAGTGAGTGACTCCACTCCCTGCCTTAAGTCATGCAACTGTTGCCATTCACACTCTCGCACTTACAGATCTTTTGTTTTCTTTTGCACAGGCGTACAGTACAGCCTCACATTCTTCTTCCAATTCTGAAGATACAGAGATGTGATGAGAGCAAGTAAAGGCTTTGACCGACAGCTGTTTCTGGGTATTTAGTAGGAATCCTTTCCCGAAGAATGAGCTGCCACCCATTTACTGTTTCTGTTAGAGAGAAACTCCTCTGGGAACCGGTTCATCACGTGGGACTGTCTTCTGTTGTCATTTGTCTCGGGGTGACTACTGCAATAGATGGCTTATTTATGGTCAACTTAAGGTAGGGACCAGATTCTTTTCATGTGATCTCTTTCAAGCTTCAGCTTCACTACATTTCTCTGTATGACGATTATCTCTTAATTTTATAGGCTCCCTGAGCACTAAAGATGATTCATAAATCTGTATATGTGAGAGCTGCTACAAAGTTTTGAGCAGATAAGCCTATTAAAACTATGCTTTTGTAAGAATGCTGTGGTTGCTAAAATAGATGCCATTAAGAACGCCTTTAGAGTATACTGGAATCTTCCCTGTTAGCTGATAAAAACCTTAATAGTGCTTTTGTTTTTGGTAAACTTGCTTTTACACTTTAACCTTCATTTTGCCTCTAGAAACTCAAAACATAATAAAATTCGGAGTAAGATCTTAGAGACTTCCTGGTAATAAAACTCAGGATTTCTTTAAATTGCATTTCTCAATGTTCTATAAACTTTCCAGCATTTTCCTTTCACAGATGGAGAAAGTAGGGGATAGGATAGGAAAATGACTTATTCCATTTAACAGTTATTCATGGTTTTACCCCACAGCATGAGGGACAGATGGAAAGGAAAAAAAAATGAGACATCGTCACCAAATTGAATGTACGGTAATTCACTCTCAAATAATACTAACTTAAGAGGAGATCAATAAAGATAATATACCTGAACGTTCTCGGTAGAATCTATTTCAGTAGCACACTGTCCCATCCCCAGACAAGAACAGAGAACCCGCTGGTTATTTTAAGGGGACAGGGTCTGGCATGGGGATGCCAACCATGTTAGCTTGCACAAGCCCACTACACCAAGCTATCCTTGAGAAAATGAAGCTAAGGCCAAAGGGTTACAATCTGATTTTAATGATAGTCAATCTCAAGGGAAAGCCACGTGAGTCTTGAACAGAAATTCTGGGAGCCTCCTCCCTCTGAGCCTTGAACAGTTATTCTGGGTGTTTGGCCCAGCTACCTGAGACTTCCCCTTATCCCAGAGTTCCAGTGTATTCCCCCCACCTAGTTTCTTGGCTCTTTTCCACCCCCTTCCTCCCTGTGTTGCACCAGCCTCAGACCTATGTGGGATGCTCTCAGCTGAGTGCTAGCTGGTTTACTTCAGGCTCTCATGTTCTTGCTAATGCTACTCATGATCACAGTATCCACAGAGGAGGAAGGCATAAGCTGAAGTAGAATATGCTACCTCAGCAGTTTGATTGTTTAAGAAACATTAGGCCCTGGTCCCCTCCATTTTTTCTCTTATATCCAAATTCTGACACCACTGGCCTGTAGCAGTCTGTAATAGGCATGAGTTCAAGGTGCCATATGCTTCTCTGGTGCCTGTTTGTGAGCCAAATAGAGGAACAGTATGCTGGAGAGAGCACTGACCAGGAAGATCACATCAAACCAACGGTGATAGAAGTTGAACTGCAGCTCTCCGAGGACTTCGGTGATTATGGTGCGGTATTCCAGAGGCATGCTCATTCGGATCAGTAGCACGGAGGAGACAAAGTACATCCCCTGTAAGTCAATCCGGAAGTCACTCTGAGTGCAGTGAAGGACCAAAGGGAATTGTTGAAATACTGAGAGTACTTCCGGTACTTTACAGTTGTGAGGATAAAACTGGGTCATCAAACTTACCATTATCTGTGCTAATAGCAGGACAATGACGTTGGAGGACTTACTGCTAGAGATGGCATAAAAGAACTGTCAAGAAAGGGAGAAGAACTTAGGCAGTGCTGCTAGATTCTTGGGTCAAGAACGTTAAGTAGCAACAGTTAACATTTAATGAGAAGTGCCTCTTCCCCTTAGCAATCCAGTACAGAAAACTGATATGATTAATGCTGTTAAGAAGAGAGACAGATTGAGAGCGAAGGATCCAGCTACGGTGTCCCCAGAGGGAGGGTTGGTGGTTTTAAGAATTACATTATGACCCGGAAGGATTCCAACTGCTATCAAATTTTTCAGAAACTACGTGATACATATGACTGTCAGATCACTATAAAACATTCAAACGGATACTCTAGGCCACCCCAAGCCCTTGTAATTATTACTAGCCTCTTGAGCTCTTTCCAAAATTGTGCTAGATACCTGGAGAGCCCTTCTCTCTTCCTAACCTCTTCACTCCTTTCATTCAAACAACTCTTGGATCTTGGGCTTCCTTATACCTCTTCTCCAAGAGAAAACTTACCTTCTGCCCCCATAAAACCTTTCTATGTTGATCAGAAAATAGTCAGACATTCTGTTTCTCCTACTTACATGTCCTCCTTATAAATGACTCTCAAAGTTACTCTAACATCAAACAACTATCTTGTTCATCCATTCCAAGTATCTCTGGAGCTCCTACCATGTGCCAGTTTCTACTCCTAGATTCTGGTGCCGTATCAGTGAACAAAACAGGCCGTGAACTCATTCTATGACCTTTCGTACATGTACTCTTCTGACTGCCGTATAAGTCCATCACCATCAGTTTATTGAGCAGTTTCACTTTAAAAAAAAATTTTATTGTACGTCTTTTAAATATTTGTGACTCTTAAAGTTCTCCGAAGGCAGAAATCTTAATTAGGTAAAATTTTCTCATGTTGCCACATGAAATGTCACAAATAATACTTTAAACTCCGTGCTACAACTTACCTTGGTAAGAGTGATCAGTAAACCTCTGATAGATGTGACGATGATTATTCCAACCAGAATGAAGGAAATGTGCTGAGACCAGAACTTTACCTGCCACCATAAAAGGAAGGAAAAGTACGAGTGAAATCTCTGTTGAGAGACATGTGAATGCTATTCTTCTGATGCATTCTGATCTCCTATGTGACTGAGAGGGAACTTCATTAGGCCCTGCCTGATTTAAAAAAAGAAAGAATGCAGTGGATATCTTCATAAGCAGACTTAATCAAAACTTAGGACAGCAGCAAGCAAGTGCAGTGGTGATGAAAATAACACCAAAGAAACACAGATGGAACTAATGACACAGCTTCGATGTGTTAAGTAAAAAGCACAAATTAAAAGGAAATTAAATAGTAGCTAAATTTTTTTTAACATTTGTGAATGTAGTCCCCTGATCACCCAAAACTTAAAGAAAATTTTCTTTTTATAATGGAAGAATATGTAAATAATCTCAGCTATTGGTCTAGGAAATAGTTGCCCTTCACTTGAATCACATGATATTACCTTTTTTCCCCTCTTGGTTTGCTTCAAAGTAGGAAGGCAGCTTTGGGACCCTGTGCTTGATTCGGGTCTGAAAATTATCTGTGGGGGAACTGTTATTACTAACATCTAAAAGATGTTATTCAGAATTCTGAAGCGTGGCGTATACAGATGGATTACAGATGAAATAGACACCACAGCAACAAGCCTCAGAAAGCGCTGATGAGGAAGAACACTTCTAATAATTGAGCCTAGTAGAAATTTTAAAAGAGGAAAAGAGAACACATATGTGGCAACAGTGAAGCCTATTTTGTGGTATAATGTATAAACTACTTAGAGGAAAGATAACCATGCTCCCTCACATGAAAAAGTTTACACTGTTGATCTATCATCAAAAAATGGGTACTCTGAGTTGTTCGTCAAGGACTGGAGCTCAGTTTGCTCTGGTTTACTTTCATTTTATGCAGCTACTCGGAGCATATCTAGCTGAGGCAGATGGCTGGGGGGAGCGTGTGGTGTGCCACTAGATTCACAGCATAGCTACATGGCCCTCAGAGGGACTAAGAGAATTCTGGTCTTACTATCACATCAAAGTGCTAATCAGCTGGAATCACTGGCCATTTATACATATATACATACATAGATTTAGAAAACATTCTATAAATGAAGACATTAAACTTAAATTGGGACAAGAGTGTGTTTAACGATAGTGGTATTATAAAACAGGTAGAAAGAGGATTAAAACTGCACAGGTTTCAGTTACCATCTTTAGCTCAAAGTCCACATTAATTGGTAGTTTTTTTTAACAGCAGACATAATTTCACTTCTAACATGGAACACTAATTGGTAGTTAATTTTCTACTAGAGGAATCAAAGGTGAGTTTTGGATTTGATGATGTCATGTATCACAGAGAGAAGTATCCAATATTTGGTGGGGAGAACCTGGGGAGGGGTAGTTGGCTACAGAAAAGCAGAGGAGGAACTACAGAAATAATCAGCATCTAAGATAATAAGTACCAGCCATCACTTATGGTTTTACGTCCTTCACAAATCTGCCATATGAGTATGTCAAAAAACAGGGGAGAGTGGGAAGAACAAAGGCAGAATAAGAAAGAAATTAGAATCTTAACAATTGTAATTTATAGCAGATACAATTGAAATGTCTCAAACCAGGATCTTGGTACAACTCTTACATCAAACTGGATCCCCAGATAATTCACAGTGATCTCGATGCCTCTTGTGACAGGATCAGTTTTCCCAACTCGGTCAAAAACAATATTAATCGTTGCCTGCAAAGACATGGACCTTTATATTAGAGCATCTCAATAATCACTATTTCAAAAAGTGACACAAAATAATCAATATAACATGTCTTACAGGTGGGTGTTCCTAAAAAATACAGTACTGGTCTCAATCTAAATCACATATAAGACATTTATTTTGGCTACTCAACAGGCAAAAAAAGTTGTTATCTACCTTATCTTTTCTGTACAGAAAAGGAAAAAAGGCTATGGCATAGACATCTTAATTTCACAGAAGTTAGAAAGGTAACATCTGGTGGATAAAGTCTGAGTAAGAGAATCAAGAATTCCAGGGTCATTCACTCTGATTATTTTCTGAATGTTCTAAGAGCAATCCCTATAATGAAAAGAGAGTTAGAGCTAACAAACCAACAACAGATTAGACAGAATTGTGAAAAATACCCAATTAATCCAAAAGAAGGCACAAAAAAGAAAAATGAAAAAAAGAACAGATGGGACAAATAAAAAACATGTAACAACACAGTTGTTTTAAATCCAACCATATTAATAATTGCATTAAATGTAAACAGTCTAAACCAGGAGCTGGCAGACTCTGACACTGCAATGATAGTAGTCACAGATTATGTGTAGATGAATGGGCCTGGCTGCGTTAAAAAAAAAAACTTTATTTACAACGGAAGGTGTTGGCTGGATTTGGCCTATGAGCTGCAGATGGCTGAATCCTGGTCTAAACATGCCAATTAAATGGCAGAGACTTTAAGACCTGTAAGACTGGTTAAAGAAGTAGAACCAACTATATGTTGCTTACAAAAAACCCACTTTAAATATAAAGATACAAATAGGTTAAAAGTAAAAGAATGGAAAAAGATACATTATGCTAATGCTAATCAAGAGAGAACTGTAAGGTCTATGCTAATATAAAAGTAGATTGCATAGTAAAAAATATTGCAAGGGATGAAAACGGTAATTTCAGAATGAAAAAAGGATCATTTCAACAAGGAGTATACAATGACCCTAAAGATGCAGGTACCAAATAATAGAGCTTTAAAATACATGAAGCAGGGGTGTCAGAAGATGGTGCAGTAGGAGGATCCTGACCTCATCTTGTCTCACAAGCACATCAAAATAATATCTACCTCTGTGCAGCTCTGAAAACCACCTGAAAACCGGCAGAACAGACCTTCCACAGTTAACTGTTGAGAGGAAGCTACACTGAAAAGGGTAGGAGGGGCTGAGTCACACCTGGGAACCAAACTCCCTGTGAGACTAACCATAGACAGGAGGGACACCACAAGCCCAGGGAAGCAGAGAGGATCAGACCCCACGCAAGGCACCCTAGGCAGTGGAGTGATGAGTTCCCAATAACAT